CCTCGATTAATCACCGTGATGAATTCAAATTCGATAACGAGGAACCCACTTCGTGACTAATAATGGCTGGAGACGGCTTGATTGGGGAATGAAGAAAAAATTTAATATAAGTTTAACATAACAGGAAATGTACAATGTTTCGACAAGGTTTTGTCATCATCAGGTACCTAATCATCGAAAGAGTAAGAAAGTGTTTTCATTGGTTAGGTGCCTGTGATATGTAGCATAAAAGTTCATTAAAGAAACAGCATGGCCAGCTACAGCATGATTGTGTTAGAGCACCACTAGAGTAACTGTGGAAATAAATACACCATGATTATGATGGACTATTTCACCAAATGGTCACAAGCATATGTTGTTTCTAGCCAGGAAGCATAAACTCTAATAAGGAGATTTGTCAACAAATTTGTTTCAAAATTTGGAATATCTATGGAACTTAACTCTACTTAGGGATTGAACTCTTAAAATGGCCTTGTTTGTAGAAATGTGCAACATCCTTTGAATCATAAAGACCTGGACAATATCCCTTCACCTGGCTTCTGACAGCATGGTAGAAAGATACATCCATAAACTAATAAGTTAATTAGCCAGTTATGTGGATGAACATCAGAAAGTGTGGGATCAAGATCTTCCACTGCTACTTACGAGTTATTTTACAGTAGTAAATGAAGATACAGCCGACTCACCATCACCACTGATGTTTGGGAGAAAATTTAAAGTATCACTTAGCAATTTTAAACAGTTAAACAGAATATGATGAGGGAGTAAGAAACACCATTGAGGTTATACATGATTTTACTCAGGAAATATTTAAATCAGCTAGTGATAAAATGAGAAGTCACTATGATGTGCATGCTAATAATACTGGACTCCAATAAGGTGACATGTTATAGCTGGCTGTACAATTCCTGCTGCAAGAAAAAAACAGCTCTAAAGTTAAGCAGGTGCTAGAAAGGGTCATATGTTGTACTAAAAAATAATCAATGATGTGGGTCACAGAATTCAGAGGAACAGATGATCCAAGCCAAAGGTCATCTTCCGTGATTGTCTTTGGAAGTAAACTGGTGAGAGAATGGCTAACTAGGTAACCCTGCAGAAGAATTTGCCAGTGGAAAGTCAACCAGCTGAGTATCCCAGGGTTCCTGTTGAGATCATCTCCAGAAAGTCAACAAGAATAAGTCACCAGTGTGGCACTTGACACATACCCATGAAGAACTCTCCAAATAAGAAGGAAGCAAGTGCCAATCAGGATCAAGAGGCCATCTCATTTGTATGTATGGCAATCCTTGGAAAAGAAACTACCACAAAAATCTTGATGAATGGTCAATTAAGTGTAGTGTTTTATTTTTGTTATATACTTGTTCAAGAGATTTCACATCTCAGAAAGGGGACAGTGTTTAAGCTATATTTTCAATGTTTTGATTTAGGTGGAAATAGAGGGTGCATGAAATCAAGATAAAAATATTTATAAAAGTAGTCCTAAAATCTAGAAACTTTCTATACTTGGTAGAAGAGAGAATTCAGTATACGTACAAGTAGAAAATGATCGAGTAATTATTGATTGAGAGAAGACTGATCAAGTAAAGTTATTCAGTAAGAGTTAGTGCTTCTGTAACCCAATCAGTAAGTTAGTCAGCATTTATTATCAATCAAGGAAATTTCTGTTAAATGTTATTAGTGTAGTATGCCTGCAGTAGTTTCAGAGTTTTATGTTCAAAAATTTGTTTGTGAACTTAGACCTACAACTTCATTAAAGTGAACACAGCCTGTAGCAAAAATTACTGAAAAAATAAATAAATTCATTATTATTGTGTAATGGACTTGCCATTATTTTTACCAAATAATCCAACAAACTTACCCAATGATACGATAGGTTACAACAATATTATTTCAATATTTCAAACAGATCTAGAGATTCAATATATGACAAAACCTTTATATATACACATATACCAAGTTTTTGTATTATGTAAATTTGACTTTCAACAAAGGTTCAGAAGTTTTGGCCTACATTTTTAAGATTTTTAATCCTCAGTGTATGAGAAACTAAAATCTAAATCACTACATTTTACCTTGTACAAAATAATATGTTAATTAAACTTTAATAAGACATACAATGATAGATGACTACTTATTTTCACCAGTCAGCTTCACCTTAATCCAATTAAATCAAACAAGTATTAAAAAAAATAGTATTAGTAATAGCAATTGAAAAAAAAATTAAGTAATTAGAAAATGCGAATGAAAATATTGTCCTATATATTTAGTGTTTAACATTCACAATTTAGCAAAACATTAGCTAAAAACACAATTTCTCGTATCATTTTACCAATGTGAAAGACACTGTCATACAAAACCCATGTTTTATTCTAAAGTCTTTACAGACATGTCAGCTAAATGGCTTAAAAGCTAATGGCTATAATTTTGTTATGAAGCACAGTATATGGGTTTTTCACTGTAACTTTCTTTATTGTCAATAGATGGCTCTTGCTATAATCTTTGATACTTTATTCTTCAATTTACGCTATCGTAGGTGTGTGTATTTCAGTATTTGATAAATAACTTAAGTGCAGAAACCTATAGAAATAAGCTTAATTATTTCATTCAAAGCACTATTGTAAGAAGATTCTGGAGATTCCTTCATACATGTAGAGATAACTTTTTTTTTGTCCTTTCATTCATAACAAAGGTCATTAAAAAGTTATAAAATCTGGAGATTCATGACCTCAAGAACATAACCTTTTTTTCTACTTAATTATTGTGTTAAGGATGATATTAATTACTTGAATTCTTCATATAAAAGTGCTTCACTTATCAGTTTTTACTGTTGTAAATTTAATTATAAAGAACAATGAAAGAACACTAATCTCATTAAAAAGAAAATTATACTTTGCCTAGAGGATCTTAATTTCTTAAATGAGGATGATCTCTCTTATAGATTAAATCTGATAACATGATTTTCTACAAAATACTTCATTTCTTTTTCTCTCTAAAATTACTCAAATTACCAATGGTTTTCTTTGGATAACATTTAGAGAAAATGAAACTTTTCTTGAATTTCCTTTTGACTTAATAATGCCAATGAATAATTGTAAAATATAAAAAAAATTTACAAGATGAAAAGAGAATAGCAGTTTTAAGAAAATTAAGTCCCAATATTTCATTTTTTAAATTTCTGGAGTGTTTTGGAATCCTTAGAAGTGTCAGTAAAAGGAATAAAATATGTCAATTTTATATCTAACTGTTAGTTTTGGTTATAAATAAATTTCCATAATAATATAAAGAACAAGAAAACTGAAGAATTAACTCATTGAAAGACACATAAAACTCTCAAAAATATTATTTATAAATATAATATAACCACACACTGATAAAAATATGAAAATTCTGTATTTACTTCATCATTAAATGTGTATAAAGTTTTAATCTTGGTGGAAAAAGGGTTATTTGCTTGTAGTTATAAACAATTTAATTAATTGTAGCAGCAATGATTTTCTTCGCAACTGAACTGCCATATCTACAATGACTTGAATAAGCTATACACTAAAGAATACACTTAACTGTTGTTCTTGAAAACTATTAATAACTGCCTATCCTCACTATATATTTTATTATATTTATTTGTAAATTTACTGTATTTTAACATAATTCGTTTACTTATCACCAAACAGCCTTTGAAAAATATGCGCACAAGAAACATTTCACAAGTAGTTATGAATGAGAATTAGACAAGATTTGTACTAGTAGTAGTAGTAGTAGTGGTGGTGGTGGTGGTATCGAATGATCGGTCGGTTTCATCTTTTCGTAAATTTCGAGGTTATTTCAAAAGCTTAATTCAGACATCGGAAATCTTTAAGAGTAACAAAATAGTTTACATCGCCATACTCCGTAGTCTAATTCTAAGTTATACTTATAGTTATACAAGGTTCGCGTGTATCTGAACAATTCTTTCCGCGAACTTAGTAACTTGAAACAATTACTAATTCCTACTTATGACCGTTTAAGGATGCATGACGCGAGCAAACCCACCTTTCACATCTACTGAGTACCGTATATTATTTTTTATTTGTATGAACAGGTAGTAGCAGACTTCTTGTTAATACTAACAATATTATCAATATAAACAACTTATAATGTATATCATTATCAGGAACCGAATGTAAGGCTAACGATAAATATAATGTACGAGCATAAACAAAGGTTTTGAGGTGGTGTAAATAAAGTGACTTCAAATTTTCAACTTATCTACCCTTTTTCAGTTAACAAATTATCACACACTCTGGAATATATAATATGGGCATTTAAAATATTAATACGTGAGATTCCAGTTATAAAATAACAACTGACCTGGTATGTGAATTGGACTAGATTTTTTTCCCGCCACAAAAGTAGAAATTATAGTAGTACAACGAACGAACCACAGTTCGAGGAAATGCTTTCACGTAACTTTCAGTCGATTTTTTGTGGTAAAAAAAATACACTGAATGCACGAAATAGTCCCTTACATCCCAGTAAAGGTTTAATTCCAAGCCTGTTCGACGACTACAACACGTACTTAAACTTTAAAAATGCCTTTAATTAACTACGACTTGCATATTTCATTACACTCACAAACTACACTGTAATCCGAATAAACACCCGTAGATTAAACTAGTCTACACTGACCTCTGCCGCGTGTGGATAGTTGTTTACTACATTGGTTTTAAAAGTTGGTCGCTAGAGAGCACTACTAACTAAGGACGTAAATTCCGCATTACCAGTTGGAAAATATTTATCCTATGTGGCTGCAGCCGTTTGTATGGCAAAGGATTTTAAAAATTGAATCAATCATTAATATACTTCTTTATATACAAAATTACATATACATCTAAAGGAAAAATAATGACATATGTGTTCAAGATGTTTTAGCAAAGAGCCAATAGAAAACACTTTTTACATGTTGTCAATGCAATTGTTATGTTCATTTGTCTGTTATTTGAAATAAATGGTTTCCAAAGCACCAAATTATTAAAACTTCACCTTCATTTTGAAAGATCGTATTATTAAATCATACAGAAATAAAACAATAAATCGGTAAACCATGATTATAGTTATTACATGTTCACGTCACATTAAAACTATAATTACGATTACTCGTTTTCTCGTGGAATTAAAAGCGAAAGTAAATTTAATGCAACGTAATAAAAAATGTTAGTTACTCTTGTTTTCCTTCACACCTTCTTCAGGGTAACACGTTGTATAAACTCTTGGCAAGTACACAATTATTCATAGAATTCTGTAATTAAAAGTGTTTTTATCTATGTTAGTCAAAATCACTCTGTATTTGAACTGTATTAATTACTTATAAAACTTCCTAATCTTGAGAAAGCCTAAAGTCAAAATTTTGGTTATTAATAAGCAATTTTTCTGGAGCTCCTAGCTGCACTTAATTATCTAACAATTAAAATATATTTTGAAAAGGAATTATACGTTTCTTTTTCATAAGTATTAATTAACTATGACTTGTGATGTACAATGATTTATCCCATTATTTGGATATTTGAAGTATAATTTAATATGATAATAATATACACTTAGTTTAAGAAAAACATATGAACGGAGTTCTGCCTCAACAGGTGTATAACTATCTTATTGTTGTAGTCTCAAAAGCCAGAAAATAGCGAGGCTTTATCAATAAACAGACTAAGATTCTGTTAATACTCTTGTAATAGGCTCTTTTGTTGGGTTCTTTTAAATTACATGGTGCAAATAATACGAAGTCCAGTTAATGTAACAAATTAATTTTCTTATAACGTTTCTACAAGCTACGTTCACTTTGACACAAATAATGGGTCTAAATGCACAAACAACGTTTCAACACTAACTTTACAATTAAATGTAGGTCTAACCTCAAATACAATGGTTCAATACAAACTGCGACACAACTTTAACGTAAGTAGTTTTGTTAGATAAACAAACACATAACTTGCCAATTAACTGAATAACAGAACAGACGCGATAATTTTCATCAAACACTTCACTGGCACTGAACAAATTTCACTTGTATAAATAATTAATGAATCCATTTAGATTTTAACCTAATGCACCCTCTAGCTAACATCGAATTTAAAACATTGAAAACAGCTTGAAATACAACCCCTTCCTGTATTGTGAAGTCCCTTGAACGATTCCTGATACAAAAAATAAATAAACTGTCTGTTCACTAAGTTTTTTGGTGATTTTCTTTTCTAAAGGTTATAACATACAGATGGGATGACCTCTTGTCCTTTGTCATCACCTGCTATCCTTTCACTCAGAGAGTTTTCCCTGGGCAGATGATCGAGGAAGTCCACTTGTGGCTCTATCCTTTTTAATTAGTTGAAAATGATCTCGACAAAAACCTTGGCCTCCTTCTTAGCAGGTTGAATTTCTGCTCTCAACTTCTTTTCTGGAGTTATCCAGTGTGCCATTCTCTCACTGAAGTTCTCTCAACGATGACCTTTGGCTTGGATTGCCTGTCTCTCTGGATTATGTAAACTACATCATTGATTCTTTTCACTACAATGTATGACCCTTCCCAAAATCTGCTTAACTTTGGAGTTCATCCTTTTTGCACTGGTTATTGTACAGCAATATTATATCACATCAACGGAAGTTGAACATATCATTATCAACATTACACTGACTTTTCGTTTTACCATCAGCTGATTTAAGTATATACTGAGTAAAGTCAGGTATGATCTCAGTGGTGTTCTTTAATCCTGTGTATATTCTGTGTAAGACTCTTCTGAATGACCATCCTCCAGATATGAGTATAGAAGGTTCAAAGGAACTTTAAGTGCTGTACCAAACACCAGTAATGATGGCATGTTACCTGTAGCTTTTTGTATTGCTGTTGAAGAAATCATAAGTAAAATAAATGGCAAATTGATTTAACAATATATGATTGTATCTTTCGACTCTACCATCAAAATATGGTCTTTTTTTAGGTTCCAAGAATCTGACACATTTCCATAAATAGGACTATCTCAAAGTTCCATTCTTGATTAGAGTGGAATTTCATAAGCACCCTCAACCTTGAAACAAATGCTTAGGAACATTATATGCTTTTGGCTACTTGGTGAAATAGTCCATAACAACCATGATGTAATTATTTCAACTGTAACTCTGTGGGAGAGGAACAGGCACATCGACAGCAACTTTCTCAAGTAGTGCTCCAACACAATACTGCTGCAGCTGCCCATGCTGTTTCTTTCATGGACCTTTATGCCCACATCATAATTCACAAGATTTACACCAATTCTTAAATATCCCCGGCACCCAATCCAATAAATGCACGTTCTTAATTTATCTAATGTATTTTTTAACACTGAAGTATCCAGCTGGTTGAAGGTTTTGTTCAGTTGAGTGTTGGACCACATTAGTTTCATCATAACTTGTAGATGTCACAGGGATTATTCCCTGTTGTACTTTACCTTGATCATCATTACCATCTTGTGCTTCCTTCTCTTCACAATGTTTACATTACTCATTTACACATGGTTTTTTATGATAATGTGTCACCATTTCCTTGATTCAGTCCAGGTTGATTCATTATGGCAAAGTTGTGCTTCTGGTGTTTTTGGAGCCATCTTGCTGATTGGGTTTCTGGATTGTGAAAATTCACCAGCCACTTTAATGCTATATGATATGTCTGAAGTGTAATATTTTGTCCATATAGATAGTGATAGAAATGACTTAGTACTGGAACAACACTTACTAGCTCTTTCTGGGTTGTACAATACCTCTTTTCTGCAGGCAATCACGTGTTTTTTCCATGTTGTACTTGCGATATTACTGTCCAATTGCAAAGTCACTGACATCTGCATCAAAATGAATGGATCTTCAAGAGTTGGATATATTAAAGAGGATTAGTGGTTAATTATTTCTTTAGTTTGTTGAATTATTGTTTATAATCAGCAGCCCAGCAAAACGTATTTAGATTTTCAAGTATTTTGTGTAAAGGAGGAGCTATGTGTGAGAATGATTTTACAAAATGATGATAGTAAGAGCACAGTCCAAGAATACTCTTAACTTACAAATATTCTTTAGAGTTGGCTTGTTTTGGACTGAATCGATCTTCGATGGTTCTATAGACGCCTTCTCTTCTAACTATGTGTTCCTGGGGTTATAGCCTAGGCTATACAAAACCAAGTAGGGCATTGTATATAGGATCCCTAGGTACCTGCTGACCATGGAGTCATATCCTGACTCTGGTCAATGCCATTCACAGGAGAAAGAAACATCACGAGTTTAAAGGTGTCACTGGTGCTCAAACTGAATTTCTAGCAGGTGAGACAGTAGGCACTTGCCAAGGATACTTGTAATTGGTGCAGCAGTGAAAATTCCTTGCAGAGCCGAAGACAAAATCCACCAACAGGAGCTATTTTGTCTGCAGGCAAGTTGACACTCATTCACAGGTGATAATGAAAATTAGGACAAGGCAGGGAACCTCTCTTTGTGAAGGGAGATGACCAGTTTCGGAGCTCTGAGTCAGGGGTGAGAGGCCACTGGTGGGTGACAATCATCAACAGGAGTTGTATTGTTGGCAGACGAGACAGTGGGAATTTATCAATGATGACAGCGATTGGTGAGAATGAAGGAAGCCTCTCTATGAAGGTAGGTGTTTTGAGAGTAAGAAGCGAGGTGCCATTTATGTATGAACTCTAACAACTCAAACTGCTTCACTGGCAAGCAATGCAGCAGCCACTTATGGATAAAGATGTTTATCTATGGGGAGCAAAGACCCTCCCAGGAAGGGAGCCAAGTTTCTGGAGTAACCATTTGCTGTGAAGTGACCTAGGGTTCATCAGATCTAATAGGCAGATGTAGGCAGTATCTCATTGTTCTGCGATCCCAAGGTTGTGAAAAACACTTGGCAGAGTGTGGGTCTCCTGGAGCCCACTTACTTGAAGGTACCATCATTGTCAGACAGTGAGCCAGCCAGCCAGTCTGTGCCAAGACCATACATGAGCATGGTGAAAGTGAAGCAGGTCACTCCCACAATGTTTAAAGAATTAGTCAAGGAAGATTTAGACAGTTTTAAGGCATTTCAAGCAATTAATTGAATGGAAATAATGGTCTCAGAAATAAGTGATGCATTGCCTGATCCTGAATTTAGATGGTCTGGCCCTCAGTGCCATTGACTATCATTGAGAATGGGATATAGTTGTAGCCAGTCTGTACTGTTGGTTTAATCTCACAGAAGACCAAGCCTTCCACAAACCTAAGTCTAAGGCTTAAAGAAAGAGCTTAGTTGTAAAATTGGGTGCCTTTACAGATGAGCTGTGCCATTTCTATGGGAAAGCCTATGATGCAAGTAGCCTTGGCAGATTATGAGGACATCCTTTTTTGTCAATTTAGTCAAAGGACAGCTAAGCAAGACCACGAAACACCATATAAGGGTACAAGATATTAACACCTAGAGAGAGATAGAATTAGTTGTAATGAGGTTGGAGATGCAAGAGAAATTGGCAGTAGTAGCTCTTGTAGCTACTCTCAGTATTAATTGTCCTGTTCAATCAGGTATCTGCCATGAAGCTTGGACCGTGTTGCGAGTGAGACTATATGTAGTTCCTTGTGATGTTGTGGTACCAACAAGCTGATCTCAACAAATGAGCAGAG